ACCCCATCTCATCATCGTTGTTCCCGTGGTCACCCCCAGAGATAGCTTCGCCATAGCACTGGCTCTCCCTGGATGAGGAATTCAGGCTGTCTGTCTTTCTGTTTGTCTGGAGGAGTGAGCTGGAGCCCTCCCCAGCTCCTTGCCACTTCTCAAGGGTAAGGGCCAAGGAGCATGGGCAGAGACCATGGGAATTGCCATCTCCCGTGGGGTCTTCTGTCGCTGGGTCGGCTTGTTTCTGAGATCTGGATCTGAGATCTGAGATCTGTTTCTGAGATCTTTGAACCTAATTCTAAGAGTGAGGCAACCATCTAGCCGCCTTCTGCCCGCCTGAGGCTTAGGAGGCCAGCTGCCTTCCCCTCCCGGCTGTCATGATTCCTTGGGGCGTCCCGGTGTGGTGGAGCGATGCTCCAGTCAGCATTGGAAGGGCAGTGCTGTCCTGGTCACACTGGGGACCATCTCTCAGAGCCTCAGCTCTCTCCTTTATAAAAAGGGTTGTTCCTCCTAGCTCGAGAGGATTCAGTATGAATACCTGTCTGTTAGTGGAGGAATGTGTGAGCACTGGGGATGTGCTGGGTTTACACAGGCTGGACCAGAAACAGGGAAAGGCGAGCTTTGTAGAAAGCACTCAGGTGACCACAGTGGTCCTCTTCTCTTTCCTCCCCACCACCGGGCATTTCCTCACCGCCTCCTCACCCCCTCCCTCTGCAGGATGATCCAAGGGAGGTGTTCTTGAGTGCTAGTAAACAAATCGGCCTGAGTCAAACAAGAGCCGCTGACTCAGATAAGCTCAAACTCAGAGAAACTCTAGTGACGATGCCTGTGCGTGGCCTGTTCCTGTCTCGGGAAATGTGTGCTGACAGCCACTCCTTGGTGATGGCTCATGGTGGCCCAGGCCGTCCAAGGACCCACGGTCTCGGATGAGCAGAGTCCCCAGCACACGAGACAGAGCTGGGTTTGTGGCTGGTGGAGCCAAGGGGCCTGTGGCCCTGCTGGAGAGAGTGGGCATCAGTCCTCCTGCTCAGGTGAAGGGGCCACTGTTTGTGCCCAGCTCTCTGCTTCCTCTCCTCCCAGAAGAGTTTGTGGAATTTAAAACTTCTTTGCCCTCAGCTCTGATGGGTACCATGCATATTCCCTGACATTCACTTGTAGGTGTTCCTCCCAGCCTGGTAGTCTGTGAGTGGGTCTTCCTTCCAGCCAGGCTGCTTTCTTCCTGACTTCGAGCACCACAGAAACATGTGGAAGTCCTCGGGGTGGGCAGGTCATTGCTGACGTGGATGGTCAGGGCATCAGGCTTATGTGTTAGGTTCTTCTTGCACAAGGAGATGGAGGTGTCTGACCTCGGCGAAACCTCATATTCCCCCCCACCTCCCAACACACACACGCACACGGACACACACACAGGCTGAGACTGCTGTGGGCTGCTTAGGCCCCTGCCAGCTTGTTTGGTCTTTCTCATGCCCTGTTTGAGCACTTGTTGTTGTTGTTTACTCACCCAGTTGTGTCTCTTTTCTATCCTGTGGATTGTAGCCCACCAGGCTCCTCTGTCCAGGAAATCCTCTAGGCAAGAATACTGGAGTGGTTAGCCATGCCCTTCTCCAGGGGATCTTCCCGACCCAGGGATCGAACCCAGGTCTCCTTGGCAGGCAGGTTGTTTACATCTGAGCCACCAGGGAAGCCCATTTGGGCACAGCCTTGCCCCAAGTTGTTTCTGAGCTGGGACCAGGATGCTGGAGATGCCTTTTTTGCTTATAATTTTAATTACAGTGAATGAGGTGTGAGATGAAAGCTTATATGCAGAGCATGGTCCCCTCGGTACCTACCAGCTGTGTGCTTTTTCCTTCTGTGCTGTGGGGTCCCCGCCTGAGGTGGTGGGACCTGTTTCCCCATCTGTAGTGTCAGAGCCTTCACTCCACTGACCCTTGCTAAGCTAACCCCAAGCTTGGCTCTGGGCTGTAGTGGTGGAGAGGAGACGGCCCTAACCCAGTAGCTTACCGCCCAGGCAGGACAGATACAGCTTGATGGGTGCCGCTGTAGGGAGGGCGGGCAGAAGCCCTCAGTCCGCTTCTTGGAGCCTGAGGGCCGAGGAAGGGCCCTTGTGCCTCCCTGGAGAAGGAGGCACGAGCCCCAGGAAACCTGAATGCCTGGGATCCAGTGAGCTTGCCGGGCTCTTCCAGGCTTTCCAGGGAAGCGCTTTGGGGATGGACACTGGTAGGGAACCCGGAGGAGGAGGGGAGAAGCCCCCTCCCTCATCTGAAACCAGAAGGGACCCGGGGGACCCTGAAGTCAGGAGCACCCAAAATAACCTCCAGGGAGGACCCTTGGTCTTTTCAGCGACTGCCATAGCGAGCTTAGGATGTGCCTGTGCCTGCAGCGTCTCGCACGGGAGGCACTAAGGCTGGCGCAGGAGAGGAGCCAGGGGCGGTGGGTTTCACCAGGAGCTGAGCGTGGAGAGAGGACCCTCTGGGAGCCCGTGTGGCCACTGTGTTAGGGGCAAGGGATGCCAGGGAGCCTCCTGCCCCTGGGGACTGGGCAGAAGGCTGGCTCTGGGGTGTAAGCCCCCCACGGGGTGTCAGGGGCTGTGGAAGGCCCACGTCTTTTCCTCCTCCCCTGATGGCTGGTGTCTGAGCTGAAGTAGCCAGGCAGGTGAGAGCAGTCTCCCCCGGGGCCTGGAGCATCCTTCACCTGGCCCCCTGCAGACCTACCCCAGGCCTTGCCCCTGGGGCTCTCCCACCGCAGTCCCAGAGCCGCTCAGGCCCGGCGTTCATGAGCCGCGGGTCTGTCAGCCTCCCAAGAGAGCCTCCCAGCCTCCTGTGTGGAAGGACCTTCCCGCCCACGGGCACCACCCCTTGACCCGGGAGCCCCGCCTCTGAACAAGTCTGTAAGCCGGAGGGGGAGGCAGCGTCTTGGCCTGCCCTGTCTCTGCCGAGGCCAGCACTCTAGACGGCACCTGCAGCTCTCCGGCGGCTCTGTTCCTGCCTGCTCCCGGAAGGATGAGCCGTGTTCTGATTTGACTGCCCAGAGAGCCTCACTCATTGTGAAACCCATCTTCCCAGATTCACACGTGGCCTCTCCACGGAGGCTGGGAGGGGAGAGCAAAGGGCAGAATCGCTTAGCCTCTGACAGCTCTCGGAGGACGCAGGCGCTTTGGCACCTCTCTGCTGCTGAGCAAACACTGTCTTGGAGCACCCGCCTTAAATCCCTTTTACAAAATAGTGTGAGTGGAAGAGAAGCTGCTCAAGAGCCTGGAGCAGGGAGGTGGCCACCCTCAGGAGTTCCCGTGATGGGGAGGGGTTTAAGAAACCCCAGAGTTGAGGAAGGACGTGGAAGAGATGGTCTCCAGGGCTGGTTCCACGGTGGGAATGTGTTGGATGAGGCCCAGGACGCAGGGAGCTTTGCTGCCTGCTCATCGGGACTTGCATGACTGTACCCTGGGAACAAGGAAAAGCTACTCATTCTTTCATTCATCCACATTGGTAACACAGAGGCAGAGCGAGGTTGACCAGGTGGTGGTGCTCCTGGCACCTGGCTTTCTGTTTACTGCCCTCCATGGCCCTTACCTGCATCCTTTTCTTACCCTGCCTTTCTGGCTCCCAAGAAGACTCTGGCGCTGGGCCAGCATCTCCGAAATGTGCTCATTTCCCATAGGCCTGTGTTATCAGGAACCTCTGAAGCTGTGGGAAGAACGAGGGTGAGGACCAGCATGACGCCCCCGCTGGTCTGAGCCAGTATCTCTTCTCACTTTTCCATATGCATCCTGGGGGGCGGGGGGAGGGGGAGCGGGGGAGGGGGGTGGCGGGCGGGGGGAGGTCTCCCTCGCCAGCAGAGCTCCTGCCGGGTTTAGGAAAGGCCACGCCTCCCCCTTTCAGAGTGGTCTGTGCTTCTTGACGTGTAGTCTGGGAACAGATCTCCTGCAGCCCCTCCGCACCCCCGTCCCCCGCTCACTTTCAGTAAGAACCTGAGATAAAGTTGGTTGTGGAAACTAGTGGAAATAAAAGCTGGTGTGAACTAAGGGCCTTTCAAAATATATATATAACAAGCTTGTGTTTACAGTATTTCAAACTGTTTTGAACACATAATGCCCCCAAGATAAATTGTCACGGAGCCTATTTTAATGAGTTGAAGAAGAAATGGTTGGTTCTCAATGAGTCCATCTTTTGGCAGATGGCTGTTCCTGAACTTGAGCTTTGGGAATAGCTGCTTTCGAGCCCCTATTTAAGCTTTGTGCTCTTGTTTCAGATTCTTACTTGTGTCCTCCAAAGGGGAGTGGGGAGGGCATTTTTTTTTAAATCAAATATCATAGCTTCAAACAGTCCCAGACCAAAAACTATCCCAGCAACAAGTTTATAACTGTTTGCAAATTAGTGGGGTTTCTGGTCAATACCTAAGCTCAGATGACTCTCCTGCTGTTTTCAGCTAAGTGGATATTATCTTAGAGCTGAAAGATCCTGAGAGGGGGCCTTCCTGCAGCCCTGTGACAGACCGTGCTTGACCCCACTCTGAACTCTTCAAGTGCTCACTTTCTCTCTCTCTCTCTCTCTCTCTCTCTCTCTCTCTCTGTCTCTATTTCGTCAGCCACACCCCCGGCAAGTTCCATCAGGCCCTCCCTTAGGTTTTTTGGCCTTTGGGGGAAATTAGGAGTAGCTCTAACCCATCAGGTTTTTGAAACTGCTTCTTTTTTCTGTCCTCTCAGTAAACCAAAGTCTCAACCCACTCTTCCCTGAGGAGAGCAGTGTCCATCTCAGCCAAGTCAGTTCCAGCGTTTTTCTCTGTGAAACAAGAGAAGAGGCCTCGGCGCCTCCGCGCGTCCCCCTGTCTGGAATGACTGTGACCTCAGGGGTCGCGTCCCTGCCTTCCAGGCCCTTCCAGCACACACACAGCGAAACACTGTGTGGTGCCCGAGCGCTACTTGGGAGGAGTGGGGTGGAGCGTGGGTTCTGAGTCCCCTTGGCCCTCCCGCCTCCGTGGGGACCCCCTCAAGGTCTGCCTCGCGGCTCTTTCAGCGTCTGCAAGCGGTGCATTCGGAAAATGGACCACCACTGTCCCTGGGTCAATAACTGTGTCGGCGAGAACAACCAGAAGTACTTCGTCCTGTTTACAGTAAGTCAGCTTCCGAACGCCATCCCCACCCTGCGGGGAGCACGCGCCGTTTGCCTTGCTGCTGGCAGGACGGTGCCTGGCCACGTAGACCTCTGCCTTTCTGCCAGAGCTCTCCTTGGTTCCACACGGCCCACTCCCATGCCCTTTGCTCGAGCGTCTAGAAAACTGCCTCCAGATAATTAGCTCTAAGCAAAGGGCCGTGTTTTGGGCTCCCAGGCCTGGTGTCTGAGCTCGGTAGCCAAGAAGGTGGCCACCCTCCCTCAGCGGCAGGTAGGTGGAGGGCATTTAGCATCGAGGGCTGGAGGGACCACAGGCAGTCAGTGCCCTGTCCCTTCAAGGGCAGCGGGCCCAGAGCCCCCAGGACAGCCCAGGTCCCGCCTGGTCACACGTGCTGGGTTTCTCTTCAGGTCCCACGTGCCCCCAGGGAATGGCTGTGCACCTCCGACCTAGGGGCGGGGGTCGGTGGTGGGGGCGGGGGGAATCACCAGGTGGCTCTTCGGCCCCTCCCTGCTCAGCCCTCAGCCTGAGTGTTCCTGAGTGGGAGGCTGCAAGCACCCCATCCCAGGCGCCTACAGAGCCAGAAGGTTCTCACAACGGTGGCGTCTGCCCTGCTTTCCTGTTGCAGATGTACATAGCTCTCATTTCCTTGCACGCCCTCATCATGGTGGGATTCCACTTCCTGCACTGCTTTGAAGAAGACTGGACAAGTGAGTATGTGCCAGGGCTTCCCTCCCTGTTCCAGGAGGGGCGCGTGACCGGAGCGGGGGTGGGCTCTTTGTCTCCGTCCTGGTGCCAGGGGCCAACCTCATTTTGTTAGATCTCCTGCAAACCTATGGACTGACCAGGGAAGAAACAGCAGAGGCCCGAATATCTCTTCATGAAATAAAGCAGCCCCTTAAAGTCAGTTCCACAGGTAAAGTCGTGAGTCGGACAGACCCTCCAGCCTGAGCGGGCCCAGGAAAAAAATGCAAGCCCCAGCAGGGAAGCACATCCCGGGAGCAGAACCGTGTCTTTAAGTGAGGAGCTTTAGTTGAAGATTATTGCATCCCAACCTTGCAGAAATCCATTTTTAACTTTCTGGCTAGGACATGGGTGGTTTTTGTTCATTTGGGTCTTTTTGTGTGCGGTGATTTTTTTAACTGCTTAATCACCCATGTTTGTTAAGAGTGTAGACAAATTCTTCCTGCTTTTGAAGTATCTCGTTTAAAGATGCAGATGCTGAGGAAGGAACTCCAATCTGCATAGACTGCATAGATCCTGAGGGGAAAAATATAGATGCTGAACATATAATTAAAATTTGAAATGTTTTAAGAAGAATAAAAATGAGATATAAGAAAATAATTTTTAATATGGTAGTCCCCACTTATCTGCAGGAGGTATGTTCCAATATGCTCTGTGGATGCCTGAAACCTCAGATAGTATGGAACACTACATATACAATGTTTTTCTTTTATACAGACATACCTATGATAGGGGCTTTCTGGGTAGCTCAGCTGGTAAAGAATCTGCCTGCAATGCAAGAGAGCCCAATTCGATTCCTGGGTTGGGAAGTTCCCCTGGAGAAGGGACAGGCTACCCACTCCAGTATTCTTGGGTTTCCCTGGTGGCTCAGATGGTAAAGAATCTGCCTGTAATGCAGAGACCTGGATTTGATCCCTGGGTGGGAGGATCTCCTGGAGCGGGGGCATGGCAACCGACTCCAGTATTCTTGCCTGGAGAATCCCCAGGGACAGAGAAGCCTGGTGGTGTATGGTCCATGGGGTCACGAAGAGTCGGACATGATTGAGCGACTAAGCGCAGCACAGCATACCTATGATAAAGTTTAATTTATGCATCAGGCACAGTAAGAGAGTATCCGAATAGCCAGCATCACCACTCTTGCACTTGGAGCTGTTATTAAGTAGCATAAGAGTTACTTGAACATAGGCTCTCTGATACCGTGGCAGTCAATACCAAAATGATTGGTAGTATATGCAGCGTGAACATGCTGGACAAAGGGATGGTTCCCATCTCATGTGGAGAGAGCCAGGTGTGAGATTTCATCATGCTTCTCAGGAGAGTGTGTGCTTCAAGACTTATTATTTCTGGAATTTTCCGGTTAATATTTTTGCACCATGGCTGACTGCAGGTAACTGAAATTGCAGAAAGCAAAACCACAGATAAGGGAGAGACTGCTGTAGTTGCTGGAGGAATGAGGAGAGGCTGCCTGCCAGGCTCCTTCTTTCACACACAGTCTGTGAGACAAACACCTCGAGCAGAAACATCGTATTTCCACCCTTTTACCATTGATTGGTCCCTTTCTTCATTTCATCATTTTTTATGAGTTTTCCTCTTCCTGCATGTACTGACTTCTTAGGTATCTTTAGCTCCTGACCAGATATTAAGAGATTTTTCTAGCCTCTGTTCCTAGCGTGCATCTGCCCCCTTCTGTCTCTCCGGTCCACCTGGCTTGACCTCTCCTAGGGGAAGAAAAACCCCATAGGTACGGGTCACCCCAGGCTGCTGCAACAAGATGCCATAGACTGGGAGGCTTAAGCATTTATTACTCACAGTTCAAGAGTCTGGAAAGTCCAAGATCAAGGTACCAGTCAGTTCCATCTCTTGCGAGGACCCTTTTCCCAGCTTGCAAATGGCCCTCTCCTCCTGTGTCCCCACCCAGCAGAGAGAAAAGCAAGCTCTCTGGTGTTTCTTCGTAAGAGGTCCTGAGGGTGGGGCCCTCGCAGTAGAGTTCATGCCTTTAAGAAGAGACGTATGCAGTGCTGAGGGTACTGAGGGCCGCTGGTGGGGCATTGGAGTTGGCTGGGACCGTTTCAGTCTTCCCACTTAGTGCACAGGAGACTGTCGAGCAGGATCTTACCTCGGCCTTGTAACAAGCCTGCAGGGCAGGAGAGCTACTCCCCTCTTTGCAGATGGCAAAAGCCAGTGCCCACAGAGGTGGCGCAAGTTACCCTGTCATATGGCTCAGAAGAGGGCCTGTGATTCAGGCCTTAGTCCAGAGCAGGCTTTTCCTACCCTGTCTGGAAGACTCCACCACCCAGGGTCTTACCTGCATGCTCTGGATTATCTGTGGTCAATCCAGATGGAGTGGATTTCCTCCCTTAGTGGATTTCCTGATGGAGGCAGCTTGAGGCCCCCAGCTGCTCTGGTCTCAGGGCAGGGGAGGTGCCGGACAGACCCCAGAGTACAGGCTGTCTGTGCCATTAATACCATCTCTGCTCAGCCCTGGATCAGTGGGGCATCCAGCTCATGTTAAGAGGAATCCCCCAGGATGAGGGCATCTTGAGCTGATGTTCAGACAAGGGTAAGGAGGCAGTTCCACCTTCCCTCAATCTGCTTCCCGCCTCCCTAAACACCACTTGCAGTTCCACGGCCAGCCCATGAGAGGGGTGCTCGCAGCTGTGCCAGGATGGTGGCCAGGCCACCACTCCAGGACAGCTGTAGGGGGTCAGGAAGCACGGCACCCCTGTCTGAGAGCAGCGCCCACTTGCTCATGCTGGGCCTAGGCGGACCGGGACAGAATTCCCTTCGCGAATCCTTGACCGTCCCACAATACAGAAAGGAAAACTAAAGCTCAGAACGCCCCGACCTCTCGCCCAGATTCTTTTGTCATCAGGCATCGCTCCAAGGCTGATGGCTAACATCAAGCCGAACAGAAAGTCCCTGCCCTCCTGGAGCCTGGGGGTGGAGCGGGCAGGGCAGACATCAGACAAGGGCAGAAGGAAACAGGTGACTCCCGACACACGGGCTGTGATGGCGTATTAGTGCAAGCTCATGGTGTCGGGGGCTGGTGGGGCCCCTGGTGGCCAGCGAGGAGCCCGGTCCTGCGGGGCCGGAGGCAGAGTGGAGCCCCGAGCCTCACGTGCCCCCTCTCTCTCAGAGTGCAGCTCCTTCTCGCCGCCAACCACGGTGATCCTCCTCATCCTGCTCTGCTTCGAGGGCCTGCTCTTTCTCATCTTCACGTCCGTCATGTTCGGGACCCAGGTGCACTCCATCTGCACGGATGAGACGGTGAGTACGGGGGCAGCCTGCCACCACTCCCTCCACGGCTGGGGTGGGGGGGCGGGGGCTGCCTGCAGGCCAGACCTGGGAGCCCAGTGGCCAGGCCCCATTCCTCCACTTGCAGTGGCCCGCGGTCTTCTTCCTCCCTGCCTGGGACTGGCACTCTGGTCACACAGGCATGGGGCCCAGCGGCCTCTCTGTTACGAGCCCTCCCAGCCTCCCGTGATGGTTCAGTCTTGTCCACGGCGTCACTCTACGAGGCACTGGGGTGCCCTTCCTGTTTAGCGGCCACGGGCCTGGAGACGGGTGATGGACAAAGGGTGCCCTGACCCGCATGGCACAGGCAGGGTCAGCTTCCCAGTGAAAGCGTCTTTACGACCCGATCCTGAGAGTGGGGTCAGAAGACAGCACAGCGGGGGCCCACAGAGCAGTGGGCACAAGGCTGGTTCTGGTCCTCGTCCGCAGCCTTCCACCTGCCCGCTTTCTGCCCTGTTCACAGCTCCTTCTCTGGGAGCTTCGAAACTGCTGGAGCCCACACCCTGGTGTGGCTGCCGCCACCTCTAAGCCTTCCTAAGGTGGCCAGAAGCCTCCTGGTGGCCAGTCCATGGCTGTGGTGTGGGCATTTTCTCCCTCTTTGGCTTTGGGGTCTGGGTGAGGGGCCCCAGGCGGAAGTGGCAGCTCTGAGCTCTGGGGGGAGGTCGTGAGTCCGTCCTCAACAGTCACCTCGGGGTCTTCGGGGGGACGTTGGCCGAGTGGGTAAGCAGCCTTAGCTGGAGGCTCATAGGAAGACTCAGCCCTAAGTGCTGGTGCAGCCCCACCCGAGGGTGTGGAGACTCAGCGGGCGGAGGCGGACGGTGTGCTGGCTGCCAAGTCACCAGCATTGGGATCTAGGGCAGTGCCCGGTGGTTTAGGAGGTTGCGTGCCTAACAGCACCTTTTTTTTTTTCTTATAAGCATTAGTACCATTATAAATGAGTGTCTGTAAAAATAGTAGCCGATGGGGTCCATCCAGCTGTGTGTCTTTGCAGCGCATGTGACCGGCCTCTGTGCGTGAGGCCTGCAGGGAACCCAGAGGTGACCGGCTGGCCCCACCCGCTGTTACACAGGCTGCGGCCCAGCGGGGTCGGAAGGCAAACTCTCATGGCCCTGGTCCTAGCTGTTCTTCCCCGCCCGTCAAAGCCGTTCCTAAAGGGAGCCGCGCTGAAAGGAAGGGAGAGAGGAGTCGAGGGCCTCCCTCGTGTGGGCAAGGGCGTCCCGCCCTTGACCAGTATGGTATGGTCCCAGGGCCCTAGGCTGTGAACACAGTCGGACTTGGCTGTCCCCTCGGGCCCCAGCCCTGTTCCTCCACCTCACAGAGACCGTGGCAGATAGACCCCTGGTTGGGCCCCTGCCAAGCCGCTTCTGCCTTGTCCTCCAGCCCCACCTGCTCACCAGCCCCTTCCGGAGAAGGGGAAAGGAAGGGACCGACCTGCTCCCCTAGCCCGTTTTTCCTGCGAGGCTTGGCTGGGGGTGGTATGGGCTCCGTGACAACTGCTGAGGCTGCCTCAGGTCACCCTTGTCCCCAAAGGAAGCCAGGAAGGCCTTGGCCGGGGCTGAGGTGGAGCGGTCTGCCGGGGCGGGCCCTCTAACCTGTACTAACCCCTCTGTTCCCTCCTCTGTGCTGACCTCTTCCTCCTGCTCACCTCCTCCGCTGCACCTGGCCAGCCCCCCTGCGCCGGGCGCTCCTCGGCCTCCCCGGCTGGCGGGACAGACAGCGCCAGAGCGGTCGTTTGACTTGGTCCTTTTTTTTTTGTCTGCAAAGTGGTCATAGCAGCTTCAGAGTTCCCACGAACCAATGCTTGGCTCTCACGAGCTCAAGCTCCCCACGAGCTGAGGCTCCACATGCCCCAGCCTTCAGAGCGCTCCCACACACAGCTCGGCGCTGGGCCCAGACCCCCCGGCCAGGACTCATTAACACAACGCCGGATTGCGTGACTAGGAGCAGCGGCTTTGGGGCCCGCTGACTTTCTTACGTGTCCCTTCCTGCCTGGAGGGACTTACACAGACGTGCCTGTGTGCCCACCCAAAAGAAAAATGATGATTCCTTTTTGTCTTTAGCACTTTTTATGAGAGAAAGAGAAGAAAAAAAAAATGTACTATGTAGATAAGCTTCATGGCTTTAAAAAGGAAGCATTTACTCCATTCACCTCAAGCTAATGGATTTCTCTCCCCCAAAAAAACCACAGCAGTAAAGTGCTTGACTGAAAGTATGATTGTTCTTATTTTCAGGGAATAGAGCAATTGAAAAAGGAAGAGAGAAGATGGGCTAAAAAAACAAAATGGATGAACATGAAAGCCGTTTTTGGCCACCCCTTCTCTCTAGGCTGGGCCAGCCCCTTTGCCACGCCAGACCAAGGGAAGGCAGACCCGTACCAGTATGTGGTCTGAAGGACCCTGAGCAGCGTTTGCCACTCAGACACAAACCCTATCCCAGCACTACCGTCTGACCCGTTCTCATGAATGTCTTAAACCGAAAAGGCAACACAACTACTCTGATACTTTTTTTTTTTTTGATGTCTCACATAAAATGGCTGAACATTGCAGAGAAAAAAAAAAATGTCCCCATGGTTTTTATTTTTGAAAAAATCATCCTTTCTATTTTTTGGTGACCGAAGCTGCTTTCCTTTTTTTTTCCTATTTAAAATCACTTCTCTGGCCTCTGGTTTCCTCTCTGCTGTCTGTCTGGCATGACTAACGTGGGGGGCACTGTCTCCAGGCCACGCCCCCCCTTGTACTAACTGAGTCGTGACGCTTGTGCGTGGACGGACCGGCCCAGACACCTGGTGGGGGATCCATAGGAGAAAGTCAAGAGGGCCCGTGACCTCCCACCGCCCAGGAGGCAGTGGCAGGTGCCTGAATGGGACTTAAAACCTCGCTGAAGATGGATGCTCACCCCTTGTGACCTGCGAGGGCTGAGATCAGGGCTGGAGCCCCAAGAAAGGTCCTTGACCACAGCAGCCCCGTGCCCCGTGTGAACACGACTTGCCTCTGAATTCACAGAATCAGTTGCCTGCTGTGTACTTTGTGGGCTCTGGGTACGTAGGATGATTTTGGGGGTGGGGGGGTGGAGATGAAAGGGGTCTTATTTGTATTCCAAATCACCGGTTATATTCCGACTGATCATTTGGAAGAATGTGAAGGAAAGAAGTTTTTCCAGTTCAAAATGCCTTACACAATCACGAAGAGAAGAAAATGACGCAGTTTCAGGCGAGCTCCGTTTCCCCTATTCCCTCTGCTTCCTGTCTGAGCGTCCCACCTCCCTCCCTCGCCTTGAGTGGCGTTCAGCAGTGTTACTGCCAAGCAAACCAGCCACAGCCGCACCGTCGACCCCCTCCTTCCTCATTTTTGTAGATCTCCGCAGTGGGTTTACTTCTGGATGTTTTAGACCCATAAATGTACACGTCTCCATGTCTTGTCTGTATTTTAACCTGGGAGGCCGTGAACCTGCGTGGGCTGCCCGTGACGCAAAGACACCATCACCAAGTTGAGAGACGCCCAGCCGTCCAGTGGAACCAGCAGACACCTAAGCCTGCGGCGTCGAGACTGACTAGCGTTTCCATTTGCACACTTGTGTGTTGAGTCTAATTAGAAGGAGGGAAGGCCTGAAGACCGTGAGGGGAGGTGAGGGGACGGGAAACGCGCATCAAACGTGGAAGTCACAGAAATCTGACTGCCGACCGTCTCACATGGGGAATTGTTTTTAAATGATCACCACAAACTTTTTTTTTTCTTTTTAATCTGCTTGGGGTGGGTTTTGGGGTGAGGTTCACGAAATCAGCCCAGGGTGGGGAGAGATTTCGTCTAGCTGTGTGATCTTTCAGAAAAGTAAGTGGAACATGCTGCCTCTTTTCAATTCTGTCAGTGCTTCCACATGGAAACCAAACGCAATAAAATTTTTCCAAAACCTGTTCTGGCTGAGCCCCCCGTCTCTCACGGAGTCAGCCCTTAGGTAGAGCTGATGGTCCAGTCAACGCGAATGTGCTCTGTTGGGGCGTGTCTTTCATCGCTTTAAAGGCATCTGTGCATGCTCCTTTTTGCATCATCACCTCTAAAGGGTGTTTACAGCCCTCTTTTGGACAAACTAGCCCGCCCCGGGCCTCTCTCCTCTGGCTCTTTCTGCAGCCTGTCCCTTCCCTGGTGCTTGTGGATTCTTTGGAACAGAAAAAAAAAAAAAAACTCATCAGGTCTACAAAATTTGCTTCTCCAGTTGGGCCTGGGCGAGAGACCTGTTTTCCTCTGCCCACCCACCAGAAAGCAAAGTGAAGCCAGAGGAAATGACTGGAAGCTTCCACACACATCCTGGGATGTGGCTTTTGAGGCACCTCCACCACCCCTCAGGTGTTTATGCAGAGAACCCTTTTCTTAGCAGTCTTCTGAGTCAGTCAGCTTTGACCTGTCTCTGCTCTGCTGTTTATGCTATAGTGAAGCCTGCAGTCTAGGCTTTTTTCTCTCAAAGCTGTTTTTAAATCTAGTCCCTAGCATTTGTTCCCTATGTGCTTCCCCCACCACCCCCAACCCCACCCCTTACACTGATGAAAGAAATGTGGTTGTTGAATGGCCCTCGAGCATTTTAGAAAGCCCTCACTCTGCTGTGTTCCCTCAAGGATCTGTCCCTGGGGAGAGAGGGTACTTTTGCTGTGCTCCCTCCTGCCAGGGAAGAGAGACTAGGACTCAGGGAATATTGTCAAGTATTTGAAGTCCTCAAAATATCCCATCTTCAAGGGCATTTTTTTTTTTAAATGAATCATGTTGGTCCTTCTCCCCATGGAATTTCTAAGGAATACAGTAGATCATGCTGAAGATGTATTGAATTTTGTTTTCAAGTCCCCAAAATAGAAACTCATTATTTACACCTGAGCATACCACCTATATCTTTCCCAGAGAGTCTCCTTCTGACATCCAACGTGATTCTGTCTCTGGGTTTTTACAAGCCCCTTGGCTGAAAGAATGAATGTTCCTAGTTCTCAAGCC